TAAAAAGAGGAACAACTGATTTTTTATATGGTAAGATATTAGAGATTTCCTAAACATTCAGTTTCATGATACCTGAAAGTGGCAGGTGAAGGATCAATGCCATCTTAGTCTGTTGACACTGAAAAAAGCCAGGCTCTGAGAATGAACAGTTAATTCAGATTCTCATTGTTTACGGGGAAATTCTCTCTATAGTGGTGGTATGATTATGACCGGTGCATTTAAATCTAACACAAACATTCTGACTTGAGTATAAATGGTGGGGATAGAGGTATAAAAGGCTAATGTTCATCCTATATAGGTGAACTACTATTGAAGTATAAAGAATGGAACTTTTTGGTGTGTCTTATGTTTACTATCATATTATTGGCAAAAAGTGATACCTTGAGTTCTTCTTTGCCAATTTGTATCCACTTATCTCTTTTTGTTCTCTTTTTTCTCAGGCTAGAATTTTGAGTATTATATTGAATAGATACAGGGAGAGTGGGCATCCTTGTCTTGTCCCTGATTTTATGGGTTTTGCTTCAAATATGTCTTTATTTCATTTGATACTGACTGTTGGTTTCCTGTATATTGCTTTTATTATGCTTAGTTATGGGTCTTGAATTCCTGATTTCTCCAATACTTTTAACATGAAAGGGTACAGTATTTAATCAAATCATTTTTTTTCTGCATCTAAGGAGATGATCATGTGATTTTTTTCTTTGACTTTGATTGTATAGTGGATTATGATAATGGATTTTTATCTATTGAACCAACTTTGCATCCCTGGGATGAAGCCTATTGGCTCATGGTGAATGATTTTTGATGTGTTCTTGGACTCAATTTGCAAGAATTTTATTAGGAATTGTTGAATTGGTATTCATAAACAAAATTGATTTGAAGTTCTCCTTTTTTGTTACGTCCTCATTTGGTTTAGATATCAGAGTAATTGTGGCTTCACAATATAAATTAGTGTTGGGAGCCAAGTCCTAGCAAAAGTGGATATCATCTATGCAGCCATCTCAGGCCATATACCCTAACAAGAGACTTCTCTGATAAACATTTTGTTTTTCTCATGTATCTTGTTTTGTTGTTTAATGCCACCAGCTGTAAGGTGTTTATGGTAAAGTGTCTTCAGCTGTATTCCCCTACTTGTGTTTATATATACCCATGATTTCTTTTCAATAAACAGGACTTGATCACACACCCTGTCTTGTCTCTATTCTTTGTGTCTCTTCCCCCTCAATCCCCACTCTTTCTCTTGCTAGACTCTGTTGACTGACTTGCTGACCAGAACAAATTAGGTAGTGTTTCTTCTGGTTATATTTTATTAAATAGTTTGAGGACTGTTGGTATTTGCTCTTCTTTGAAGTTCTGGTAGAATTCTTCACAAAAGACATCTGGACCTGGGCTTTTCTTTGGTTAGGAGATATTGGCAGGTTTAGATAGTTTAGCTGCTCTTGATTTCACTTTTATATGTTGTATGTGTCTAGAAAACTGTCCATTTCATCTGTATTTTCTAGTTTTGTTTAGTATACTTTTTTTTAGAAGAATCTGATGATTTTTAAAATTTCCTTAGTTTCTCTTGTTATATCTCCCTTTTTATTTCTAATTTTCTTAATCTGAATACTGTTTCTGGGCTTTAGATAGTTTGGCTAGTGTTTTGTCTATCATGTGTGTTTTCTCAAAGAACCAGATCCTAGTTCTGTTGATTGTTTGTATTGTTCTCTTTGTTTCTATTTGCTTGATTTCCACCCTGAGTTTGATTATTTTCTGGTGTCTACTCCTCTTTGGTGTATTTGCTTCTTTTTGTTCTAGAGCTCTTAGGTATGTGGGGATAGGGAGTTCCCGGGTGGGTGGGGGATGGGGTAAGGGGACAACATATGAAAAGTAAGTAAAACATCCAATAAAAAAATTAAAAAAAAAAGTGTAGGGTCTCCCAAGTTTCTTCACCAGGGCACTTAGTGCTATGAATTTTCCTCTTAGAACTGCTTTGATTGTGTTCCAGTAATCCAGTAGTTCACCTCCAAAAAGCAAACAACTCAATCAAAAAATGGGGTATAGACCTAAACAGAGAGTTCACAACAGAGGAATCTTGAATGAATAGGAAGCACTACAAGAAATGCACAAAGTCCTTAGTAATCAGGGAATTGCAAATCAAAACATCCCTGTGATTCCTCCTCACAACTACCAGAATGGCTAAGATAAAAACCTCAAGTTAGAGCACATGTAGTCGAGAATGCTGAGAAAGTGGACCACTCCTCGATTGTTGGTGGGATTGCAAACTGGTACAACTACTCTGGAAATCAATCTGGAGGTTTCTCAGATTCAGAAATAGGTCTGGCTGAAGACCTAGCTATACCAATCTTGGTCATATAGCCAAAAGATGCCCCACAATCCAACAGAGGCATTTGTTCCACTATGTTCTTGGCAGCCCTATTTGTGATAGCCAGAAACTATAAACAAATCAGAAGTCCCACACTGTAAGAATGGATGCAGACTGTGTGGTCACTATGGAGTACTAGTCAGCTATTAAGAAGAAGGACACCGTGAGTATTGTAGGCAAATGAATGGAACTAGAAAATATCATCCTGAGTTAGGTAACACAGACTCAAAAAAGGACATGCATGGTATGTATTCACTAATAAGTGGATATTAGCTAAAAAAAAGTACAGAATATCCATGATACAATTCACAGAACTCAAGAAACTTAACAAGCAGAAGGGCTCAAGTGAGAATGCCCCAATCCCACTTGAGAGGGAGAAGAAAGCAATCATGTGTGGACAGACAGAAGAAGGGAGGGAGCTGGATTGGAGATTATACAGGGATGGGAAAAGAGGAACATGACTAGCTATTGGGGAATGAGCAAGTGTAAAGCCCTTCGGGACAGAAAAAAAAAAAAAAAAAAAAAAACAAAAAAAAAAACCTGAAACTGGCAATCTTGGGAGGTATAAGGTTGGGGGCCCCTCTAGAATGCACCAGAGACCAGGGAGGTGAGATACCCTCAGGAATCAAAAGGAGAGACTTTATGTGATATGCCCAACAACAGGTAGAGGAAAATTGTTGATTCCACTTCCATTAGAAAGACAAGCCATCATGCGTTGTGATAGAGTTGCACTTTCAAAGTCAAATACTCTGACCCAGAATTGTTCCTGTCTGAAAGAACTGCAGGGACAAAAACGGAGAAGAGACTGAGGGAAAGGAGTTCTAGTGACAGGCTCAAATTGGGATCCAACTCAATGAGAGGATACAAGGCTTGATTGACACCATTACTGATGCTATAGTGTGCTTACAGAGGGGAGCCTAGCATGACTGTCATCTCAGAGGAACAAAAAGCAGCTGAAAGATTCAGATGAAGATACCTATTCCCAACCAATGGACAGAAGATGATGACCTCTATGGTTGAATTAGGGAAAGGTTGGAAGAAGCTGGTGAGGAAGGTAACCTCATAAAAAGACCAGCAGGCTCAACTAACCTGGACCACCAAGATCTCTCCGACACTGAGCCACTAACTATGCAGCATACACTAGCTGATACGAGGCCGCTGACATGTATACAGCAGAACACTGCCTGGGCTGGCCTCAGTGAGAGAAGCACCACCTAACCCTTGAGAGACTTTTGGCCACAGGGGGTGGGGAAGTCTAGCAGGGTAGGGATTGGGTGATAGAGGCATCCTCTTATAGTTGGAAGAGGAGGTATTAGATGAGGAGCAGTCAGAGTGTCTTTAATAATAATAATAATAATAATAATAATGAAAAATATGTAGAATTTTCAATTTGGTTTCAAATGTGTAAAGTCTGACAAGTGGTCAAATATGTAGCATTTGAGACTGAAGGAGCTTATTTTAGACATATGTTAATACAGTACAATTTTGGTGAAAATACATGGTAATAATTATCTCAATTCCATGTGCACAATAAAGCCTAAAGCATGTATATGTTTTAACACTTTTGTAAATAACATGTGACATCTCCCCTAAGCTTCAATTGACTGAGAAAAGAAAATAGAGATAAAGGTACACAGAGGAAGACTCTAGGATAAACATTCTGGGAAATATGGGTGAGCCCTTCACCTACTGATAGCAGTTATGAACAACTTCCACTCCCAGCCTTCTGGTTGAAAAACATGTATATATTTCTTCTATTGAGAAGAAAGCTCTGTGTGAGTAATATTCCTGGCTTCTCCAGTGCTCATCTGTGAGCACTCATACCGTCTACAACATAGAAGAGGTTTATTTTTATTTTTTTTATTTTTACAACCATAAGAAGCCTGTACAGCTCTTCCTTCTATACTGCAACACTATCAGGGGCCTTTGCATATTGCTCTCCAGGGAGGGCTCACCCTTCCTAATCTGAGATAAAAGCTCAGTTGTCATGTTTCAGTGACTGCTCAGTCTCCTCAGGTTGCCTCCTCAAAATGATGTTGCCAGTTAGGCTGTTGGTGCTGTTGTTCTGGATTCCTGGTAAGGAGAGAGGGAAGTGAGACAGGAGAATGGGGAGGGAGTAAGAGCTGTGAATCCCACTGTTCATTACAAATATTATGTGTAAGAAAATGGGTCTTATCCTCCAGCATGGGGCTTCTGGGGTGTATATTTGTTAGAGAGAAGTTCCAGAAGGGAACATGTGCTATATAATGAAGATTATGACATGGGGGGATAGGATGGTCTAAGTTATGCCTAGAAGGACTTTGAGGGTTGAATTTATTTTAGGTAAGAAAGAAATTTTAGGATATAAAACAATTGTATGTGAAACTAAATATCAGAGGTGAAATTAAAAATATTGCAAGGTTTTTCATGAAGTTTGTGCATAACTCTGTACTTCTTTCTCATTATTTCAGCTTCTAGAGGTGATGTTGTGATGACACAAACTCCAGTTTCCCTGCCTGTCAGCCTTGGAGATCAAGCCTCTATCTCTTGCAGGTCTAGTCAGAACCTTGTGCATAGTAATGGATACACCTATTTAGAATGGTACCTACAGAAGCCAGGCAAGTCTCCACAACTCCTCATCTATGAGATTTCCAAACGATTTTCTGGGGTTCCAGACAGATTCAGTGGCAGTGGGTCAGGCACAGATTTCACACTCAAGATCAGCAGAGTGGAACCTGAGGATTTGGGAGTTTATTACTGCTACCAAGGTACACATTTTCCTCCCACAGTGATGCAGACCCTAACAAAAACATTCATGCTTGGGATGTTCTAGCTACCAAATGTCATTTATGTGTGAGGGAGATGTGCTGAGGAACTCCAGTTTACTGGTTCTGCCTTAGGGCAAGTTCAGCCTGGCTACAGCTCATTGGTCATTCATTTTTGGCTTCATTGCCACAATGACAACAATTTTGCACCTGCTTCAGAGAATGTCAAACAGTTGCTATTCCAGATGCCAGAAAAGAATGACAAAAAAAGTTCAGGGAAAACCCATTTGGATTCAATAGGCCTTGAAAGCTTTTTCACTCAATGTTACTCAGTAAAGCAAATAGGAAGCTAAGATATACTCCTTATTTAAACTGTCTTCTTTAATATGCAAATAGTTCATTCAACAAATTTTATACTTTTGAGTTAAATTCATATATCTTATCAAATTCATATATATATATTTAATACATTCGTTTGCTTTTTATGTAAATTTAATCTAGTGAGTCTCTTTCGTAACATGCTTTTACTGATGAAGTGTTTCTTTTCTGTCATATAAATGGTTCTTGGCATTCCATGCAGCTATTCTAACTGTATTGCCTTCCATGTTTAATTTCAATTACATGCACAGTTACAGATGGCTAGTAATATGTTTATGGTAATATCTCCTGCTTGTTTTGAATATTTTATTTCTTCTGTTAATATTCATTTGCAGTTTTGTTTTATATTTATTGATAAAATTTTATTTTTTCTTTCTGATGTTTAATATTTTGGACAGGTGTTTTGCATAGAATTTATTTGATATTCTCTGTACTTGCAAGGACTGAGTGATGAGATTGTACTTCATTAGGTATGTCCTGTATGTTCACATTTTTTCTTCTTTCACTTAATATTGACTCACATACTGTCTAGGATGTTCATTAATTTCCATTTTACTTAATTTTTATTTCATACAGAAAATAATGATTTTTTAAAAAAATAATTACCGTTATCACCTTCACTGTCACACACCAAAACTCTTTCTTTTCTTCTCTTTCTTCATTATTATTATGTCTTCCTTATCCACCTTACATCTCATTCACTGTTTCCATAAATAAAATAACCAATAAAAAAATCAAAATACAAAAGAAAAAATAAATTAAGCAATGCTTCTACATACATACTTTGATGTATAGTCTCTCCCTCAAACCAGAAAACAAAACAAAATGTAAATAAGAATCCAATGACTTAAAGAAGAATGTACATTAAAAAGCGTTGACCTTGCTACACAAAGAAATCTACTGTTAATAAACTATAGTAAGCTTTCCGGTCTGTGCCTGTTCCAGTGCCTGGAGCAGCCCTAAAGTGTCAGCTTTGCACCCAGTCGCCCCAAACCCAGAGGAAGCTGGACTCCTGGGAGCTCTAACACACTCAGAATTATAGGATGCTGAAGAATCATGGTGTCTACCAGAGCAATGGGTGAAATATGCTGATGCCAGGACAAAGAATGATGCTGACATGTGAGCTTACTGAGTATCCTCACAATGGAGACTGGAATCTGTATTGGACATATGTTCCTGACCCACCATTGCTTACCTATACCCCTGATGGGACAATCAGCCTTTTCTCAAGTTCTTAGACCTTGTGCAACAGAGACTCAAAAAGAGAACTTTTAATGACGCTTGTATTGTTCTTAAATGTGATCAGTTATTCAGAGTCAATCATGAACTGGTCTGGAAATCAATCCAATATTGGAAATAACAGTCTTCATTTGGAAGTCTGGTTCTGGACAATTTCACAGACATATATGGAAGTTAGCTGCAGTTCTCTATGATGTAGTTAGCAAGAGATAAAGTTGGGGCAGAATTTTGATTTCAAACTAGTGTTAGCACATTTGTAAAGGCTCTTTTAATTTTCAAGTTAAAATTACTTTTGTTTCTTCTAAAGTAGTTAATGTAAGTTTCATTGATTGTATATATTTTAGTTTTGTTTGTATTTTGAAATCCAGCATGTCTGTTACAGAGGTCTATCAGTCAGCTATTGTTTTAGTGTCCTTACTATCACAGAACCTTGGTATTCTAAAAATACTCTGCAAGTACTGGAAGAAATGAGTCAGGCATTAAGCAGAAGCAAGAAGATAATGGGCTTGATTATTGCTGGTATAACAGCTTTAATTACATCAATTGCTAGCACCACTGCTTCTGCAATTGCTTCGATACAGGAAGTTAAGACAGCTACTTTTGTTAATCATTTTTCAAAAAATATTACTGTTGTGTTGAATATTCAAGAGGATTTAGATAGGCATTTGAAAGAAAAGATTGATGCTCTTTATCCTATTCAAATAATTGGAAGGGAGTTCAGAATTTAACTGTAAGGAGCCATCTCAGATGTAATGCCATATACCATTGGATTAATATTAGTTTTAAAATTTACAGTGGTAGTCACTATAATTAGGAAGAAGTTGAAAGACTCTTGCAGTGTATTTGGCATAATTCTAATATAACTCAGTGTGTTCTTACTTTACATAATGAGCTTATGAATTTCAAGAATGCTGCTCTGCTGAGTCTTGATTCGGTAGATACTGCTGATAATACTACTCTTGACCTGAGGTCAGTATTTCTCTTTTGGTCAAGCTTCAAGATTGGCATATATGGGTATCCCTTTTTGTCTTGAGAACACTTTTAGTCCTGCCCATCATGTTAAAACTTGTCTTTAACAACATCAAAATATTGGCAGTCAAAGTAGATGGCTTGAACCTGAAAATGGACCCCCCAAACATAGTTATTAATTTAACAGGCATGCAAGCCAAGGGTGAGTAATATACTGCACAGAGCCTTACCAACCTAATACAGAAGTGCATTGCTTTTGATAATACATATTCCATGATGGGTAAGAAAGGCATTCTTGTTAGGATGACCTAAGACAGGCTCAGTCTTGTTAATGAAATCAAAAATAGGGAAAGGCAGGGAACCTTTAGGGCTGCTTGGCAAGAATCTGACATAGGCCAAGGACAAGGAAATGGGCTCCTGAGCAGAAAAATAACTTTGACCAAGTACAAGGAAGTACGCTTCAGGGAGGAATCTGATATTTGTCTAGAACAAAGAAGTAATTTCAGGCAGGAATCGAAATCTTAGGCCAGAACAAAGAGGCAATTTTAGGCAGGAATCTAAATTTTAGGCTAGAACAAGGAAGTAGGCTTCAGACATGAAAATGACTTTGGGCTAGGACAAGCAAGTTGGATATGATATTTTGGTCATCCTGATAACTCCTTAGAAACAGTGGTCATGTGAGTGTTCTTGGAATTTTGTTTATTGCCTTCCTTGTTCTTTGACTATTTATGTCTTTTGTCTTGCTTGTTCCTTGACAACTTGCATCTATTATATTGATAGTCCTTCAACCTAGAACTGAGCTGAATACGTACATGTAATTAAAATGGTATAAAAGCAAAAGGTACAAGAGGGGATGGGATAAGGGTTTCTTTGGAAAGGAAATCGCAAAAGGGTATGACATCTGAAATGTAAAAATTAAAGTATCCAATAAAAACTAACTATAGTAGGTTTCATTTTTATATCTGACATTAAAGCTCCCAAATATTTCTCTATGTATCTGCTAAAGATAATTGGAAATATATGTCCATGTATAATCTGATACAAAAATATTAATAGTACCTTGTAAATTTCTCAAGCTAAAAAATTAAGATATATGTATCATAGAATAAGTATTATCATGATTAGAAAATCCAGCAATAGAGACATTTTATTTATTTAATCACAGAACCTGAATTAATCTTTAAAAATTAACTATATTGAGAAAATTAAGACACTGAAGAACACTTCCTGTATAGTTTCATTAAATTAATCTTTGAAAAGTGAAAAAAATACATTGGAGAGAAAGTAAATAAAAAAGGTGAGACAGCATATAATGTTGAGGTTAATATTTAAATCAGTGCCACCCAATCATGTTTGTTCTTATGGTGCTGCCATGTCCCTGACAAGGCAAGTCCTGAGACCATGAGTGGTGGCATGTTCTCATTGCTGCCTTGGCTCATGCTAGCCAGAAGCACCTGCTCTGGCACTCATGAGATGCCAGTGTGGGAGATGGCTCTGCCAATCTACTACGCTGTCTGCACAATGCTTGGCTAAGCTAAGACCATCTTTCTATCCATGAAGTTCCTGGTAGAAATGAGATTCTAGTGCTTAAAGATCATCCAATAGTGTTACATATTTGGTAATGCTCAATTAACAGAACACCCACATGACTAGAGGTATTTCCCAATATCTAACATTAAATATAAATCATTACCTAAGACCATCATGGACCCATGTATGGTTCTCCATGGCTCCTACATCTCTTCCACTCCTCTCTAACTCCTCCTCTTTCTTCTCCTCTTCCTCTCCTCCCCTTCCTTCTCCTTCTGACTCATCACTCTGCCTACCTCTCATACAGCCCCATCACTGAGCTTTATATAAATATAGTGGGAAGATATTTCACTACAATGTCATATGAAAAAAATATGTGAGTGAAGTATATAGTTATTACATATTATTTTTGAATAAATAACATATGAATTGTTATTTGATATATAAATATGTATTTTAAAATATCAATATTACACACAAAACATGTCTCTCCTTAGGTGGGAGATACACAGAGCACATGGACACAGGCCATTGCTGTGTCCACTTCTTTCTTTCCTTCCTTTTTCCTTCCTTTCCTCTTCCTTTTTCCCTCTCTTAATTCTTCTTTTTTAAATTTTTATGAGTATTGGTTCTTTTTTTTTTAAATTTTATGAGTATTGGTATGTCGGATGTGGGTATGTCTGAATCTCATATAATTGCACCCTTTAGTTATTTTCTGTTTCAGGATAAAATCATCAAGGCCCAAAGATTGAATTTTCCAAAAGACTAGACACTTCCAGGAACCTGAAAGGTGGCTTAGTAGTTAAAAGTCCTTAGAGGGTATGCTTGCATGCCTCTACAGTTATGATGTAGAATATTGGGATACTGTTTCATATTTACTCCTGCTAAGAGTTACAATTTTTCTCTTATCAGAGTAATGACACATTCTGATTCTTATTTAAGGTTGTCCTAT